AGAAGGAAAGACAATAATTGAATTGGCTTTTTTTTTTTTTGTTGTTATTGAATTCTTGTTATAGTTTGCTATGGTACACTACTTGTACGATCCAACTACTTAACTACTTTTTTTAATCCTTTCTTGTTTCTGTCAATTAGTATGACACAATTTTTCTGTTGACTTCTTTAGATATCTGGAGGGCCATTTTAAAAAATGTATAAGAACTTTTACCTTTCCCGTCATCTTCTTCACTTGTTTAGTTTTTTGCAAGGGCTTTTTTGCAAAATTCAACTGTAAATTTCCACTAAATATTTCAAGGTTTGTTTGAATAATCAATATCTCATGAAGTATAAAAACATGTGTAACTTATCTGACTTCACTGAATTGCGTATGTTGAATAGCACTGAGAATTGGTTATAGTTCGCAGTAAAGTTTCCAATGTCAGTTTGTAGATTGGTTTCATTTTTTATTTGTTGGTACTAAACCTCGATTGATTTCAAATTGTGATCCTTGCTAACCACTGCTTAGAGGCCTACCTAAAGTTAAACCTTCATTCTTTAGAAACCTTTGGCTTTCTATGAGTTACATGGACTCTTCTATTCTCTTGAAGTACGTCCACTAGATATGACAAGGGTAAGTGGGATATGCGTCTGAACCCGTATAATTAAACACTTAGATTGCAAATTCTTTTATGATGTTTGAAGAAAAAACTCACATTTGCTAGTAAGAAATTTTTTACCCTCAAATGAAAGATATAAATTTAATGTTTTTCCTAAATTCTAAAATTTTCAAGTACAATTTATACATAATTTATATCATTTTATCCAAGAAAAAATATATAATATGCAATAATATAAGTGCCATGGCGCATTTTTGGACCCATATCCAACTTTTGGATACATATCCAATATTCTATTACATTTAGGTTTATTGAAGGTCTGACAATGGACCATACACCCGCACTAGGGAGAGGGGCGGGAAGGGGTCTGGAGACACAAAACGATCTATACAGAGGGGAGCTTTTGGCCATGCTACATAATTAACTATGCTAAGACCTAATTACTGGCTGTGGAGTTTGATCTCATCAGCGTTCGTCATATTACTACCTACAGACTTCAACAACTTTGCTAATTGGCAATTTAGCATTTATATTCTTTGCCTCAGCCCATATCTCCTCGGCCTTATTCCATTTCATTACCACTGAACGAGTAATGGATGCCTAAAGCTAGCCCTAGAGGAAGGGTTAATAAGCTCGAAAGTTGATAACAACCAATTAAAGTTTCATCTGGAGGTTTTTTCGCATAAATCCATTTTTGATTCCATCATTGAAGAGTCTAATGTACACTTTTGCGATCTCACAAGATGATTTGGAATGCAAATGTGCCACTTAAAGTTTGTTTGGTGAATGGGGTTTGTAAGAAACTTGATACTATTAATACATGGTTCAGATAAATTCTACATGACGACAAATTTTATGTTTCAGCTCTAGCTATCTATGGAAATTCTCTATACGGATGTCTCTATTACTCAATTGAAAATTTCTGCAGATAAAGCAATCATCAATTGGCCCATACCTCTCATGTCATGGTTCTGTGTGCCAAGAGTATGGAGGTCTGTACCCTGATCAACCTCCCAAGACAAAATGTTACTTTTTTCATGAAAAGGAAACAATTCAGCAACAAATTAACAAATTAAAAACTATGTCCTACTGACTGCATAACAAGGGGTTGTATCCACACCTAAGGTTTTACTTTAACAATCTTTCATCTCTCTCTTGTTCACCATTGAGCATTTTTAGATATATCCCCAACATTTTAAAAAAGTTTACAAGAAGATTCCCCATAGTTTCAAGTACATCTCAAAAACGTACAGCCAAATTTTCTTGAAACTTCATCCAGGATTAACAACAACAACAACAACAACCAAAAAAAAACATATAAAAATAAAAGAGGAAAAGTATTTGCTTCCCCAATCAAACTAGGTTTCCTAGCTACTACGTAACTCAAGAAGCACTTTTTGCTTTTGAAAAAGGGGAACATGAAGAAGGAATGACTATCAGCCAAAGGCCTAAGCTGTTTGCTTGCCAGGGCGATTCAAGTGTAACTGTCCAATGAACAACAATAAAAAATGCTCTATTGATGGTTCATCCTCAAAGCTAATGTTAATCTAAGTAATTTTAATACAAAACAACAACAACAATAACAATATTTACTAGTAGACAAATTTATCAAACTGAATATCCACATCAAACTATAGCAGAACTATATAAAAGATAGGCCTGAAACTGATATCATTAGAATGGAGCACATACTTTCTACATAATAGAAACTTGCCAAAAAAGGCCTTCCCCATTCTGGCCCCCGAAATTGAGGGCACTGACAAGATATAATCAATAAGTACCCCCAAATTCACAACAGTAAGGTTCCCAATCAAGGTTGAAGCACAATAGGGTAGTTAGTTAAATGAGTTCACTAGAAAAACTATGGTGATGTATACTCTAGAAACTGTCCTACTATGATATGCAACCTGGAATTGAGGGCTCGGTAAATGCTGCAACAGTGAAGAATCTCCCCAGTATCTACTTTGTGGACCAAAGAGTTAGTTATCTAGAATAATAAGAACTTACAGCCCTTCGACTTAAGGGGAACATACAGATTCATACTGCATTTTTGACAAACCACCAAATCAGGTACTGACACAAATTACTTGGGTAGAACTCACCCTTGAAAACCATCTTGCAAGGGGAGGACACCCAAGATGCTGCATAGGTGCATCCGATCTCATACTTGACGTGGTGGCTGACTCTGATACCAAATGATACAAACCACTTGGGAACAACTCACCATTGAAAACTGACTTGCAGGGAGAGGGTCTTGAAGAGGCTTATATGCACACAACCAAGGCTTTTGTTGACCGATGTGAAATCGTAACAAATACCAAAAAAAAAATCACCAGATCAAAAGAAAGAACTTCATTTGCACAGTGGTACTAAACAAATACTGGGACTAGCTATATACGTAAGCAAACATAAGAAATTGAATCAGACAAAAACAATTCATGGGTGGCTTTCATTCAATCACAGCCCAAGGCCATCTTTAAAAAAATAAAATAAAATAATAATAATACCTTAAGATTGCTCATTCAGTCATAAAGAAAAATAAATTGAGCTAATGAGGATATATTGAGACTAAAAATACCTTTAATAGAAGGCCATCCTTGGCCAGCTTATAATTGCTATCAGCATGATTTTTAGCCACAACACGCTCGTCTGCCCAAAATATGTACCACTTCGCCCAATCAACAGTCTTGTTATAAGGAGCTTCACATAGTTTTCTGCTCCCAACCATATATACAAACCAAACTCATAAGACTGCAGAAAAGAAAAACCAAACAAAATGGGGAACAAAAGTATTAATACCCCATCAAGCCAATGAGAGAACCGCCCGACAAAGCAATGGCAAAAACACCCCTCTCCTTCACTGACACCTCCGACAATTCCGCAATATAGTCTGCCAAATCTGTCCTAAGCTCATCCAAACTCTCATGAATCCTCAACTCCCCTCTATCTTTACGAGCCCCAGAAAAAGCCATGCTTCTTGCAGGGCTGATTTATAAGACAACACTATCATGAAAAATAAATAAAAACAAGAAGATGATCAAGAATTGGTTGATAGAAGTACAACACCAAATGCAATTGTAACTGCAGTTTTTATTCTTTTTTCGATAATTAAAAGAAACAGAAAACCATTGAATATCATTCTCAAAAATAAATAAATGAAAAGGCAGAACAAGGCAATCTGGTATTTCTTGAGCATTAAACTCAATTAGAAGTAAGTTCAAAATATCAATCATTCACAATACAGAGGTTTACACAAATTAACCTACATAGAGCAATGTTTCACAATTACAGTTCACGATTCAAGAAGAAGAAAAAAAATTCAATGTATTAACCCCAATTTAGATTAATAATAAGGTAATCCAACTAAAGGGAATGACAATAATTAACTAAAGATCGAAGCAAAAAATCCAAACAACAAATCAAACAAATTGTTAAATATGCTGAATTGTAGACAAACCCCAGATCATAAAACATTCTCAATTCAAAAACCCATTTAATCAATAAAGTAAAAAATCAAAGAATAGAAACATAAAAAGAAATCTAAAATTCCTGAAGAACAAGAAAGAGAGAAAGAAACTCTTACAAGGAAGAAGAAGAGAGATGGGTGGCAAAGAATGAAGAAAATGAGGAATGTGGAAGATGGGTTTTAACAAAGATCATATATTAAATATATATATATATAGATAAACATTTATACAGATACATACATATAAATCTAAGTCTAATCCATTTTACTGATTATAAAAAAATCAATTGCCGAAGATGAAGAGAAGAATTTATTTACCTTCTGGTGCTTCCACGTGCATCCAATGATCGTGACGAAACACACAGGGAAAACTCTCTCTCACTCTCTCCACAAAGTAAACGCGCTGATAAAACAAGATAGAGAAAGAAAATGAAAATAGAGAATACCCATCTCTATCTTCTCTCTTTTTTTCCAGAGCTAGAAAGGAAAAATGAAAATAGAAAAGAAAAATCTCTCTTTTTCGTAGATTCTCTCTGCTACTCAAAGAGTCACCATATGATATGAGTAAAAAATTACACACGTAACAATAATGATTATTTTGGGAGTGTGGTTAAAAATTAGTTTATTGATTTTTTTAATCATATCTTTCTTAATTTTTTTACATATTTTTTTAGAAAAAAATAAAAATAAAAATAAAAAAATCAGTTTTTAACCTACTTTTTAAAATTAAAATCCCGTTTCAATTTAATTCATTAAGTAAATAAATTAAGGAAAATGTATATATAATATGTACTTTGTAATTATAGAAAAAAAATAATATAACTTCATACACAATCATAACTTAAAAAAAAAATCATAACCAAATACAAAAAAAAAAATTACTAAAATCTCAAAATAATCTCAAAGAAAATTTATCATAGCTAAAGAAGAAATTGACGTAACTAAAGGTATATAGAGTATGAAGTGTGTATAATAAAATTCTCATTATATATATGTTATATAAAATATAAACTATACATTTATTGCATATTGTATAAGTTATTATTATTGAGATTTTGAACTTTTAATACCGTTATTCATCAATACATCAGTCAATACCTTTGATCCGAATCAATTATGTAAGTTGATTTTGTATATTTAGGTTGAATTTTATCAATTGATTTTTTAGCAAATTTTTTTTTTTCAAATTACTTTTAGATCCTACTAAGAATCTGAAATTTTTTATTAAAAAAAAATTAACACAAATTTTAAAAAATTCACCCTATATAAACAAATTAAGAAAAAATATGATTTTTTAACAGTTGCGGAACATAATTTTAGAATTGTTGTGCACATATATATTGATGAATTATATGGTTCATTTTGTATATATAGAATTGTTGAAAATCATAATAATTTTAGAGGCTCAAATAAGGTTGAGAATTATATATACTCAACCAAACATCTGTACCAATGAGATGATGACAAGTGTGCCAATGTGCTAGTGACTTGCAAAGCTCAAATTGAATGTTTTAATCTATGGTGGTGACAAGTATGCCAATGTGCTAGTGACTTGCAAAGCTCAAATTGAATATTTTAATCTATGGTGGTGGTATTTACTTTATTTTAATTTATCTACACATACTAAAATAGTTTTCTTTTTTCAACTTTGTTTTACTTTTAGAAAATGTTTCTCTTCCTTTCTTTTAACTTTACCTATTTTTTTCCTTTGGTTGTCTCCCCAAAAATAAGCTAATCGCCACTATTTTTATGTTTCTATATGTCTCTTACACTTCACCCATCATCACATCACCCTTCTTGATCCCCATGTGTTCTACTGTAGGGGGAGTTCTGTCCTATTGATGTTGGAGATTGGGACAAAATGTGCATTGGAGAGCTAAAATGTGAAAAATTATTGTATGATTTCAAAGCAATAACTTATCAATTTTAAGTGTCACGTGAGTATGTATGAATCTGTATTTAACTACAAGCTTAATATAATTATACAATAATATCTTAATAATGATTAGTTTGTATGATCATATAACTTTTAGGTCATGTTTGTTTGAACGGACTGAATTAGGTTGGATTAACATTCCCATGACCAATAGTCTTAGGATTACGAATCCTTTAGATTGTGTATCCTATCTTATGTTTGAATTGAGTTAGGATTATAAGGAGAACTAATAGTCCAGACTTTGGCTTACTCCTCCAATTCATATCCCACTCCCCTCGTGGGATTGAATAGTCCATCATATGTGGGATATCATATCCAGATGAATTGTTAGTCTGTACTTCAATTGTTTAACCAAATATTGGATTAATAATTTTATTGGACTATTAGTCTAATTCCAAGCTCATGTCTACCCAAACAAACATGGCCTTCATGTTGTTGGAATATCATCTTAGAAGCAAGAAATATATATCGCGAATTGAAATAAAATATACAAATTTATAGATATCTTATGAATCGATTGGTTGGTGCAACATATTACAAATTAGAAGCTAATAAACAAAAAATAAAACATAAATGTATCTCTTTCTTACCTTTTTAATAATCAATTTTTTTTACCTTAATTAAATTATTTTTACCTTATAAATTATAAGACGAATATATATGCCTAACATTTTAATTTTGATTTTGATTTTCTCTAAAAACCTAAAAGTAGTTCCAACAAATATGTAACAAATAATTGAGATCACTAAAGTTGGTGAAGTGATGATCAATTTGCAACTGCTGTTTGGAATTGTAAAATGATTAAAAAACATTATGATGGTTTTCACATAATGAGTTTTGGTAATTAAGTCCACACATTTTTGTTTTGTTTTTTTATGCAGTTTTGTGAGAGAAAAAAAAAAAAAATGGTGTTGATTTAACTTTTCGTAATGCTATTGACGTAGGTTGCTAAAATTGAGTATTTTGTCGATGGTTTTCATTGTTGAAAGCGTTATTATGCCATTTCCATCATGAAGGTAGTCCGTATTCATTTAAACCAACTTTATGTCATCTTTCATATAATGTTTTGTATGGAAGATATATCTTGTCAACATCAGTTTCTTCAATTTCTCTAACCTCCACCCCACATAAAAAGAAAAATGCTTCGGATATTAAATTTATTATTTTTAAAAATTACTCTAATGATCTATTTAATAAGTATCCAATTTTAAATTATTAAATATTTTATCACGTCGTGTTTAACTTTAATATCACATCCTTAGAAGTGATTTAAGAATGCTAAATTTAAAAGATGTAGCATTACTGACATAAAAATTGAAAAACGTATTAAAAGAGATGTTTGAGAAAAATTATTGAGCATGGCATACAATGTTATGTGATATATTTCACTAATTATTAGAGTGTGATTTGAGTGAATTTGGGCAAGTTGAGATATTATCCAAGTCGAAATTGAATTATTCATATACGTCCAAACTCGATTTGTAATTTAAGATCATCTGTCTGAACCAGACTCGAGATAGGCTTGAATTGTTCGAATTATATATAAATTTAAGTGTTTTTTAAGTTGATTAGTTTGTTGAAATTAGAATATCTTCTTTCAAATACTTGTATCTTAATTAGTCCATAAGATTATATTTTAATAAGTTCTATTATTTTGGACATTTGATCAATTAAATCTTAATTATCATATTTAAGATATTTTATGAATAATTTTACCTTTATAAATATTTTTTAAACACTTAGTAACTTGATGATGTGAACATTCATATTAAATAAAGGAAAATGTCTCGTAGCTCAAATTTTGTGGCCATTTGAGCCACTTTTGAGCCACAAAATTTGAGCTACGTAGCATTGTCGATAAATAAATTTGATAGTATGTGAATATTAATGCATGTTTTATCCTATTATTATTTGAGATATTTTAAGAATTATGTCACTCATATAACTTATTGGAACATAAGAAAACAATTTGGATTAAGTAAAATATAAGTAGATGAAGAGAAATTTACGAACAAATGTCTCTTAAGTAAATAGCCTAAACAAATATTGAAAGAATATGATGCACCCCCCTCAAAAGATATGTACCATATGCACTTTATAATTACGTGAGTATGGTCCAAATTGGACCGATTTAGAATAAAATCAGGACTCATCTGTAAATTACAATTCCATAAAAATTAAAACCAATCCAAACCATTTAAAACATAGAACCAATCCATACCAAACTATTTAGACACATATTGATTTGATTTGAAACCACGGTTTCACTCAATAAAAATCATATAATATTATTCTAAAAAATTAATTTAACATGTAACAAATAAATATAAATTCATCATTTAATAAATAAAAATAAGTTCATCCTCTAGCAAATAAAACTCTCATATATAAAATAAAAAACAAAAGGCAAAAACAAAAACAAAAAGCAACACAGCACAACAACAGCAGCCTAAATCATTTTCAAGGAAGGCTCATGTTGATTAAAGCTGCAAAGAATATTAATGTTAATTTAAAATAAAAAGAATATAATACATTAATCTAATTTAAATAATAAAATGAATATTGGTAGTGCATATTTGTTTCTATATCCTCCATATTTAGAGCAGGGGGTATGGTATAATGGTAGTGTGAGATAGTAAACGGTTCAGGTCAGATTCAATCTAAAATCATGGAACATAATCCGGAACTAATCTGTAAACAACGGATTACTAATTTAACCAATCTAGAACCATGGATTAGAAAAATTAAACCAAACCTACTGGATTGAATTGAAAAGGTTTTGGATTGCAAATTTTTTGGTTTAGCTGCTCACCTCTAACAGGAAAAAAAAAAAAAAAATTTGCATAACTCTATACTTTCTGAATTATAACTAAAAAAAAGAAGAAGTCATGACCAAACAAAAAAAAAAATTATAACCAAATATCTTAAAATAATGTCATAACTAAAAAAAAAATAAAATTGTGTAACTAAAGGTGCATATAGTATGAAAATGTCCATATTTAGTGTTACTCTGCCCCTATAACTTTAGTTCTACCTCTTTTATCAATCATAATATTTTTAGGCATAATTTGAAATGATAACTTTTTGACTATTAATCAAAAAAATAAAAATATTTAATCATATCACTTTTTCTATTTTACGACATCCTTTTATAAAAATTAAAAAATTAACTAAAATAATTACTTTCACAAATACGTTTTTAAGACACCATGGACTATGCTTCAGAACCATTGAATAGGTTTAATCAAAAGAAAGACGAAAAAAAATAAAAAACAATAAAAAAAAAAATCATTGAATAGACCATTGAAATATGCAATAATTGCTTGGGATTAGGGATATCCATCCATAAATGCCAATTGTCAAAGAAGTAGTGTAAAAAGTGACAAGTTCAAAAGTGTTTGTAAAAGTCCCAGCTAATCAAAACCCCACAATCATGACAAATCAAGAACCCCTCTAAGGCCACTCCAGTAATATAAAGCAAAATCAAAGCCAGACCAGACATACATACATGATGGGCTCTTTCTTACTTGGAATGTTATAAATTTAGAAATTTTAGTCTGATTTTTATTTAGAAGTATTAATATACAATTTAAATTTATTTATATTTAAATTTAACAGAAAAGATAAAAAGAATGATGAAAAATTGTCAAAAAATTTTACTTTGAAAAAAAATGTACATTTATATTTAATTATAATATAAAAAAACAACACTTGAAACATTGTTTGGGATAAACTAAAAAATTTAAAAAGTCAAAAAGTTATTAAAAAAATTAAAAAATTTATATTGTTCACTGGTAGCTTGTGGGGAAAGTTACTGGGACAAAATTATTATTTTATCCTTTGAATTCAACTATCTAAAAATTAAAAGAGTTAAAAGTCAAAAAGGTGAAATAGTCATTTTGATTTTACAATAATGGATTGTTTTGGGAAGATGGTAAAAAGTGACTTTTTGACTTTTAACCAAGCTTTTGGCTTTTTTAGACAAATGATTTGGGAAGTTGTTAAAAAGTGACTTTTGACTTTTTTGATTAATATTTGTTTATGATGTCAAATCATAATAAAATGACTAAACTACCCCTATTTATTTAAAATATTTACAACTGAACCTATGTAACACATTGTGACCCATGAGGGGTAAAATTGTAATTTCACCGTTGGCTAAAAACCAACTTGCCAAATGAAAAAAAAGCCAAAAAAGCCAACTTTTGGCTTTTGCTACTAACCAAAAAAAGTGGCTTTTAGCCAAGTTCCCAAAATAGCCCAATATTTATTACACATCTTTTCGTAAAAATTTAAAAAAATATTTCAAACATACATTTTTTTTTCTCTACATTTTTAATCAAAAAATACACTTATATAACATATATCCCAAACAACTACTTAATTACACTTTTTTTGTCTAGATGTTTTTCTAAATAAAATTTTCAATTTCATATCATTGTTGTTCTTACTTTTTTATTCTAAACTTTAGTATAAAAACTCCTATTATTCAACTCTGATGACTCATCACAATTAAACACTCACATTATATATGCAACTAGCTACTCAGGACAACTTTTTCAACTCTGCCACTTTTTTTCCTTTTTTTGTTTCTTTTTCTTTTTCTTTCCTTTAATCATTTTAGTGTAGTTTAGTACCAATGACAATTTATCCCGTTCCATTCTCTTTGTTTTCTATTCTATCCAACATGATTTTTACCCGTCTTAATAAGTGACGTGTATAAGTCCATAAAGGCCATGAATAACCCAAGCTCATCACTTGGAATCTAATACATAACCCAGCTGGTGAGGTCCACGACAGCTGGAGTCCAACATGGCATAAAGAGTCAATGACATTCAGACACATGGCAGGTGAAGGACGAGTCACATCAGCAGACAAAGATCTGCAAAGTTATTGCCACTGCACATCACCATTAATGCAGCCCATCACAGCATTTATTACGACAACACCTCTCTGTCGAAACAAGACCCCCTTACCCTGAACAAGGTAAGCTACAACATAGACTTTCGGCGAGGAGGACAGGTCGGAAGGGACAGCAAAATTATTACCAAATGATATAAGCAAACGTTGAAGACAAGAAAAATGTTAAGCTTTTCTATCTCTAATCTCTCCCTCTGCACTCTACTTCTCTTCCTAACTTGCTCGTCGAAGGGTTCACTGAGGGACTACCTAGTTCCCCGTTAAACTTATTTGCAGGTTATCTGGTGGGCTTGATTATTTGGACATGGGCTTGAGGAGCTTGGACCAGTCCGATCCATTCACTGGAACAATCTGTATCATCAATAAGAAACAAGAAAGGGGACGGTTTTTACTTCTCCCGTCCTATTTCTCTATTTAAAGCAATAAAATTTAGGAACATTAATTTGGCTTTAAAAAATGACTTTTCCCAAATCAATTGTATTACAAAATCAATGAGATTAGCATATTGATCCAAAGTAAAAATAACAAAAGAATAAAAAAATGTTTTTGATCCATTGATTTTTTTTACATGAAATTTGAAATTAGCCTTACAATTTCGGTTTTATTAATAATTTTGGGTTGTCAATTTTTACTGTCTCATTTTTGATATATTAAGCGAATGCATAATTTTAAAAGTGAAAAAATTGTTATAGAAAATTCATAAAGAATCTCTCACTAAAATAATATAGGGTAATATTTTTACAATTAACAATCATCTTGGTATATTATTTACTTTGATAAATTCGCTGCAGCCTCATTAGTTTTTGAATAATACTATATGCATCAATTGTGTACTAATTAATGTACCAATTGATGATATAGCATAATTTAAGAGATTTTTGATACTTGTAATTTGTATAATGAGTGAGGCTAATAATAATGTCATAACTAGTGTTAGTACACTAGTTGATACACTAATTGATACATGTAGTACCACAGTTAGTTTTTATACAAGTTAGTTTTGTAATTTTTTCTTATGGCATTAAATTTTTGGGAAAATTACAAATACACTCCTGAAATTTGCTTAAAATACAAATTGTTCCCTGTGGTTTAAAAAATTACAAATACCCCCTTATTAGAATTTTTTATTTAACAGGATTAATTAAAAAAATGAAATTTATAATTGCTCTCCTGTATAATAATAAAATTACCTGAATTATTAATAGAAACATGTTTTTAACACCATTAAAAACTATTAATTGACTTGATGATTTATTAATAAAAGGGGTAATTTGTTATGAAATTAGAAATCTCAGAAGGTGGAATGTAATTTTTAAAACTATAAGAAGTAATTCGTATTTTAATCTAATCTCAGATATTGTATTTGTAATTTACCTTAAATTTTTTTATATTTTTTGAAAAGCATGTGTGGCCTTTCCAGCTGGCAAGGATTTCTCCATGATAAGCCTGCTGAGGTGGACAATGGGAAGTTTGTTTAATAACCATAATTGGCTAGTTTGATTCATTTTTCAAAACGTTGCATTCAATATCTTGTGAGAAGTCATTTGGTGTTTCAAGTGTCACTATATGGTACCTTAAATTGAATGTGATTGATGGAGAGAGTGAAATTCACTGATTTCTATCAATGAAGAGAGTAACATGAGGCATGACAATTGATGATTAATTAGAAACACTAACACATAACAACCCTAAAGTATCAAATAATTTTCCGTTTTTATGATCGTGCAAACAAATGTTGATTTCTATTTGATAAAATGTTAATCTCTATTTGGTGCAACAAAGACTGCTTGTAATTTTTATTTATTTATTTAAAACTTTGTGTTCTAGTGCTTTGTACAATTAAGTAAAAGGGAAATGATAGAGAGTTCTAAATATAGAGCTCTAATTTGAGCTCTAATGATGTGTCAAAGCAAAAAAATAAAAAAAATAAAACAAAACAAGACACAAATATCACATCAGGGTGGGACCCACCTTCCCATTAGAGCTATTAGAGCTCCTATATTAGAGCTCTAAAACATTTTTGTTAAGTAAAAATAACTTGAAAAGCTAATTATTAAAAAAAAAATGAGAGAATGATATTTCTAACTTTGCTCTTTACTTTTTAATTATCAACGTCCACCTTACAAGAAGCTATAAGCTATACCAAATAGACCCTTTGCACCATCCAGCTTCACAGACATCAATCAAACAGAAGAAGAAAATAAAGAGTATGATGGGTGTGAAAATGAATTTGTTAACCAATTCACACAATGTAAAACCACATTTTGACCACAACTGAATTAACTCTCCCTCTTCTTCCCTGCTTTTTTTACCAGCAAAAGTTAACTAATAAATCGAACAAAATCCAACTCAATTCTTTTTATGCTTAAAACCACACCACCGAAGACATGATGGTATGGATTACACATCAGAACCATACAAAAATAGTTTAGATGTGCAGAGAATACATCAATAAGCTTGCAACCTTCTTAACATTCCATATGAAGGCTTAACCTTTGGTGGTCCTCTAGCCGAGCATACAGAAAGGCACAAAAGCTCACAAAAAATTGTTATCATTGAATATGAAAAATTCAATATCATTCCAAACCCAACCCATATCTTAAAACTATAGTAAATGAAGCTTTTATAGGAAATAACAATTAATTATAATAAACACTCCTCAAATATATTATACCAACTTTTCATATATTACAGAATTTTCGATTATTTTTCCTATGAACACAAGGGAAACAAAGATAACACAAAGACTCCATAAGTAAACATCCAAACAAGACTACACAAGACTCTTTGCGCAGTTTATTCCAAACCAAAACCTCAGGGGACCTAAAACACTAACCAGTACGACACAAGCAAAACAAAGTCACCCTCTATCACCTCATGAGATTAGCATCAAGCTTGAACAGAAGCCATGTGCACAATCAAGTCAACCACACGTGAACTGCAAAAGCATAGAAGATTGTGTCAAGGGACGACGCAACGTTGCGTGCAAGCAACGCGAGTAAAATAGAGTACTGAAATTACCTGTAACCCCATTCATTGTCATACCAAGCAATAAGTTTCACGAAATGTTCATTCAAAGCAATCCCAGCCTTGGCATCAAAGATGCATGACCTACATAAAACACACAAATTCAATAACAATTTCATGAGATCACATCCACTAAGTGTTGCCCACAAACCTAATCAGCCAGAACATTAGGAAGGAAAGAACACCATATTCAATTGGGCGTACTGCATAGATTCCAATCTGGTACTGTTCTGACCATCAACAGCAGTAACTCTGCTTTCACAGAAAGGAGGAATGAGTATGCAACATTCAGACAAGCACAACTAGTCAATCATGAAGGGAAAATTTTATCAAATGATATAGAGCAAACTTGTTAAAAAAAAATAAATAAAAAAAAAAAGAAGAAGAAGCAAACAAACAAACATAAATCCATCAAACAGACTAGGGGTGACGGTGGGGATGGAGATCAAGGAGAGCCCCAACAATGAGATTCGAAGAAAGCAAACAGTTTTCCGACTGCATGTTAGAGTAGAAGAAAGCAAACACACATGCTGTTAAAAAAAAATAAATAAATAAAAAAAAGAAGAAGAAGCAAACAAACAAACATAAATCCATCAAACAGACTAGGGGTGACGGTGGGGATGGAGATCAAGGAGAGCCCCAACAATGAGATTCGAAGAAAGCAAACAGTTTTCCGACTGCATGTTAGAGTAGAAGAAAGCAAACACACATGCAAATTAATCAAAAAGTTCAACACCATAAGAATATGAAAGTGAACAAAACAGAACAAAATACAGTACCACATTGACACTCCGCGTCTCAAATGATATTGATATCAAATCAAATACAGGCAACAATTTTCACACATAAGGACAGTGTCATTTACATAATTTGCTGACTACCTTTGCAGCACCAGTGTTGCTGGGAATGATATTGAAGGAAGCAGCTCTTCCACCCCTCCAATCCTTGCTTGATGGCCCATCAACAGTCTTCTGAGTGGCTGGGTGACGATTTACAAGAGAGAAAATTGAAAAAGATATCACAAATCATATCCCGAAGCAACAACCTAACCATGTAAGCACTTACCAGTGATGGAGTGAACAGTAGTCATAAGACCCTCAACAATGCCAAACCTATCATGAATAACCTGGCAAAATTGTTGAAATAGAAAATTTTAAGCAAAGCAATGCACCAATTTTAACTAAGCCAACAATTCTAGCCGATTCTAAATTGGTGTCAGTGTAACCTTGGCGAGGGGAGCAAGACAGTTTGTAATGCAGCTAGCATTGGAGACGATGTCAAGATCGGGCTTGTATTCCTTCTCATTAACACCCACAACAAACATAGGGGCATCCTTACTTGGGGCGGAAATGGTCACCTTCTTTGCACCACCCTAATTACACCAAACAGTTTAGCCCATTGACCAGAAACAGTATAACGAATAGCCGGATTATTTTTACTAAATTCATGCCATTTCCAAAACTCTGAAGTAGTTTTGAACTTACTTTTCAAATCTATCTTGCTTTATTGTTTTGAGAACTCGTGTTTTGATAACATGAAAACACGACTTCAAACTCAGAGTCATGTTTTCGAATTGTAATCTACTGATTTGATTAACTTATTGTAAAAAATTTTGAAATCGTGTTTTCAAAACAAGATTTCAAACCAGAACTCAAAACACGACTTTTCAAAACGATTTGAATTTGGGAAGTAAGTTCAAAATGTCTTGCATTTGGAACATACACTACAAAAAAAAAAAGGTTTCTACGGCGCGCAATGCACGCCGTTAAAACCCTTCTACGACTTGCAACACGCGTCATATTATGACCAGTCATGGAAATTCATTCACTTTCAATGACATGCTTCGTACGCCGTTAAAAACTATTTAACGACAGATTTTATGCGTCGTTGTTACTTTTTTTACGACATGCTAGAGTACGTCGTTAAAAACTATTTAACGACAGATTTTGTACGTCGTCGTTATTTTTTCGACTACTTTTGCACGCCGTTAATTGGTGAGACAAATAACGACGCTGATTGCGCGCCGTAAAATATGTAATACGACTTATTATGCCTGCCGTAGAATATGCAGTTTTTATTTTTTTATTTTTAAATTCAACAGGTTCGATTTGACCAATTTTGCACAATCTAACAAATATTACAAACAAGCATCACATAATATCAATCAACCACAAAAATATTGTTTGAAACATTAAAAGGAAACTATATCCATAAATTATAAACATTCAACAATTGTCTATACATTCTAAACATTCGAAAACTACATCCTTAAGTTCTAAATTGTACAAAAAGTTTAAACCATCCAAAACTATGCGTATCTAACTTTCTAAACATATTAACTACTATTAAGAGATTATCTAAAACTACACATAATCCACTTGCTCCTATCACAGGGACGAGGATGCCCAATGTATGTGTTAAGGCACCAAAACTCGCGGCAATAGCTGGAGTAACTAATCATGTTGCATTTTTTGTCTGCATGACAAAGTAAACTTCACATAAGTACAAAAACCAACGACTCATGGAAAAAAATATTTCTTGAGGTATTAAGAAATGATCAAGAAATTTTAAAACATCAACAAAACATTTCCAAAATTAATAAGATAATTCAATGGTCCCATAAAAGCAATGTCATAATGAAAAATTAGCAAAAATTCAAGATCTCAATAGTTTGCTACTAAATCTAGGCCATAAGAAGCTCAAGAGAAAAATCAAATTTAAAAAGAGAAAAAGGTGGAATTAATCTACTTCAATGCAACACCTACTTGAGTAGCTGATCGATCTCCACCGGGGTTTTAGTGTTAGTTCGGAACCTTGTCACGAAGGCTTCTGCCAATTGCGCCCAAGAGGCTATACTGCCCTCAGGAAGTTTCTCGAACCAAATCAAGCCTAGGTCGCCAAGGCTAGACGGGAAGAGTATGCACATTAAGGCCTCGTTTCGCCTGTATACAGCCATGACTTGGCGAAAGTGGCTCAAGTGTGAGTAGGGGTCCGTCTTTCCTTCATATGTAGTGAATTTCGGCTGAAGGAAGCCTGATGGTAGGGGCGCGTTTTCAATCACTGGAACAAACGGCGAAGTCTGCAGCCTTGCCAATGCCTTGTCCGTTGGTTCGTAGGCAGGGCGCGGTATTGGCATTCCAACCTCGACGCTTCCATGCGTCCGAGGAGCCAACCGCTGTAAGGCAGAAACTCTGTGCGGATCCCGCGCCCTGGCATCCTCCTTGCATCGTGCTTTCTCTTCGAGCACGGTTCGTAAGTCGGATGATCTGGGTAATTCCGTCTGTCTAGATCTGGTTTAGTGCAAATGCGAGGGCCAATACGTGCTTCCTTCAGTGTATGATCTTTCAGATCCCGTCCTCTCAGACCTGGAGTGACGAGTTCTGGAAGACCAGGATTGAGTGTCGCCTGTCCTGAGGCTTCTGCTCTCTCCTTGCGAGGGTGTAGTATTCCTACTACGATTTTCGGAGTGGCGAGGGGGAGTCTTATTTTTGCGCCCCTCTCCTGTTGCCACTTCTTTTTTCTTCATCTGGCGTTTCAAGGCCTCCATGTCCGCCATCATCTTTCTTATTAATTCATCTTGCTCTTTCACGCGATCTTCCAGAGCTTGGGGGTCAATCCTCTGCCTTTACCTGTCAGGACTTTGAGAACGAGAGTGACGGGGGCTGTTAGTTCACCTCCCCCTAGCATCCCTCCTAGTGTTATGTCGTTGGGGCTTCAAGTCCGCCATGGGAGGGACAGAGGGTAATCCTTCACGCCTTGCGCCCCCATCTGGAGTTAGTCCGTCGAGGACTGCGGCAATTCTTCAATGTGTGCCATTGATCGTAAAGGGGAGAAGCTTTAATCAAGAGGTTTTGTTCTGTTTGTTATTCCCACAGACGGCGCTAATTGTACGGGAAAGAAATATACCTTCTCGTATAATCCCGTTGATTAAGTCCGCGCTCCTCCATACGACGTCGCTTTGTCGCCTGAAAATATAAACGTGAGCTAGCCGGCGGGTGTGTGCCGGAAACCTCTCCGATGCCTAAGTCAGCAAACTTGACAACTAGACAAAGCTCAATGTATTCAGAAAGCAAAATTATGTGTTGTGTTACCTCCTCCAAGGTGATGTTTGTGAGCTTCTTATAGGTTTCGAGTGGCACAATCCTAGTAGGACTTTTATTCCTCCATGCAGAGTCCTCCTAGGATTCATACTCCCAAAGGATAATGCTTATCCTTTTACACCCCCCCCCACTGCTTAAATCAAGTGGGATGGTTTTTGCCATGGCCGAACTACCATACGACCGAGATAAACCTGGCTATGCTGAGCCACAGAGTAGGCCGAACTATCCTTAGTTCGGTTATTCCTTTTACTCTTTCCTATCTCGGCTTTTCATGTAGAACTCATGGTACGGTTTAGACCGAACTAACGATTCGCGACCGGTATAATTCCAAGACCGGTATAATTCCAAGACCGGTATAACTCCAAGACCGGTATAACTCCAAGACCGGTCTAACTTCAAGTTGCTTCCGGACCGAAGTAACTTTTATACATATCTTGGGCCAGAGTAATTCCATACCTCTTTTGGGCCGGAGTAACTTTTACGGCCTTTTTTACTCAGCCCTTTGTATTGTGGGCCACTATGACCATCTCATAGCTCGGCCCAATTTTTACCAAAAATTACCCTCTCAATTATGTTAAAGGATCTCTATGTATAAGGTTTAGGTTTGTATAGGTTTTATATTGTCAGTTCCAAAATAAATAGTCCAAGTCAAATTAGAGTCTATATATTATATACACGTTTAAAAAGAAACTTTCAATCTATTATAGAAGAAATTTAGGTAAGTTTTAGTAGCTTTAGGCGCTTTTTGGGACAATGCGATGTAATTCTACCTGAGTACTTAGTAGCAAATACATAAGATAAGGAACTATAAGAATAATCCCTAAGCTAATCTTTTTCTTCTCTAATTTTTCACTAGTATCTAATTCAATCACAAGCTAGCAGACAAGGGAGAGGCAAAATAAACAAATTTTCATGACTGAAGCAGACGAGGAAGTAATAAACTGATGTAATCCCAATAATTCCATAACTAAATCTTTGGATCATACAGGAAATCAATAAACTAATGTAATAAACTATTTCGGAAAGCAATAAACTGATGTGAAAAAACAATTTTACATAACAGATTTTGCAAAAAAACAATTTTGTTTTCCCTCACAGAAAATAATAACAGAAATTAAAAAAATTGGCTTTGTTCAACAACTATATGTTCTATTTGAAGCATCAAGTGAAGTGTTATAAAATGCAAAATTCAATGAATGGAAAAGTCTCACAAAATTTAAAAAATTCCAACAAAAGTTGAGATTCTCAAATAATAACAATGGTTTGATCTCCATAGGGCATTTATGACAAACTCCACTTTCCAGCAAGGATGGTTAAAAGAATACATTTTTTATTTTTATTTTTTATTGAGCTCTGATTTTTCTCTTATACTGATAAATGCTAACATAAATCTTAATGAGGAAGGAAGGTCAAACCTGAAGTCCCACTGTCAAACTCAAGAGATCGATTATGTTCTTTCCAGGGACGAGTGTGATGCGAACCTCCATTGAAACCTTAGCATTGCCACTGTTGCCTTTTCCACTCCCTACAATGAACCATTTGACAGTTTTACATTCATAAAGTAAGATTTTATTAAACAAGTAGAGGTACAATTGGAAAGAAAAAAAAAAGAGAGAGTAGAACACACAAAACAGACCATTAAGAATTAAGAAACAGCAATTTGACCTCCAAAAGAGTAAAAACAGCACCCCAAAAAAAAAATTAAAATTAAAAACAAAAACACTCTCCAATAAACTCATGTCCCATCTTTTTTCATCACCTGCAAGTTTGCCATTAATGAAAGCATGAAGGGCATGGCCAAGTGATTCCACATGAAGAACTGTTTGGGACCCACTTTGAATGTTAGTGCTGCAAAGGTATCTAGGAATTGTTATTAAGATATCAAACATATCAAAGCCATTGGATTCAGATCACAAATTTTTATAACAAAAGGTTTTTAATGCCTTAGTGAATACCAAAGATAGTCACTTTTGTCAGCTGTAGTATTATCGTTCAATGATTGACGTGTGAATTGTGGAATTGTAGCCACAGAATTAATCTGTCACATAAAAATAACAAATTAGCTTATCTTGTTATTGGAATAAAAAGAAATTCATATTTTATAGCCCCATATTTATTAAAAGGGAAATTTGGTTAATTTTTTTTTTAAATTAATGAGAACATCAGTTAGCAGTTACAGTATGAAATGGAGTTCCATACAAAATTTTTTGGGAACGACTTTCTTATACAAAGTTGTTGACAACTAAACGGAACCTAATTGGTGAGAAGGTGAGAAAGGGTACTACTGTAATATAAAAAAACTATGTACTCACCCGTTGGCGTTGGCAACATTTGATGGCATTCACTGCCTTCACCATAATGTTTATTGGCACAATAATTCCAGTAGTTCGCAAAAGCAACAACTGCCATAGAATGCAACAGTGTGAGTTTTATATCACAATGAGTCTCATAACTGTCAATATTCTACTTTGTGTGTGTGTCGATATGAACTAAGTATTGTCTTAAAGAGTAGTCCTGTGCCCCATTAACTAATATGGGAAGAGTATGCCGTAAGATCAGAAGAACCATGAACTGCAGACTAGAAATGAGAGAAGCTGTCAAAATGCTAACGTCAAAATCAAGTAGCCAAGGAGACATATTTCCCTGCTTTAGATATTGTTATGAACAGAACATACACAAGCGCTCACACACCCACAGAGAGAGAGAGAAGGAGATTAATCACAATTGCAGCAACAGAATGACAGCAAAACAGACTTCTTGATTCAAAAGCAGCATACTCATCATAGTCTGGATCAACAAAATTAGGCTCAGTTGTCACCATAGCTATAAAGCAAGGGTTATTCGGGTCCCTTCTGGAGATCTCCCAATTTCCTTTGATAAAAACATTCAAACCACAGACTATATCTAACAAAAACATACGAAAATAAAATATTAAAAACAAAAAAAGAAACTTGAATCACAAAAGTACCTAAAGTTCATTGGAATACTCCCAAGTTGAAACATAGGAGGAGGTGCTGTATAGCCTGGTTTGAATGGCTGCAATGAACAAACATTTGGCAATAAATAAACTACCAAAAAATGAACAAAGACTTTGTTAAAAAAAATTTCCAATTTGACAGAGGAAACAATTGTATAAAGAAATAGTTCCCAATGTAAACTCAAAATAGTTTTATAAAAAGAAAAAACACATTCATAAGATTAAAAGCAGAATTGAAACGGAATTAACCCACCTGGTGACATATCTCACACACACTGTCACCTTTCTTGTTACATCATCTTTGTATGCATCTGCGATGAACATACTGCAAAAATCAAGCAGAATTGCTCAACAGAGAAATTGAGGGTACTATTGGGTAATGCATTGAATGAAAAGGGAACAAAAAATCTATTTCCCCCAATAGTAACCTTCAACTAGAGCTGTAAAACGAACCAAGCTACTCGCGCTCGACTTATGTTCAACTCATCAAAAGCTTGTTCGAGGTTGACTATTATGTAAACAAGTCAAGCTTGAACAAATTTTTGAACTTGTTAATATTTGGGTTTGGCTCATACTCGACTCGATAAACATATGTGCACTATTAAATTGTATAAAAAACCAAATATATTCAAGCTCAGGTTATGATGGGCTTGATTGAAGCTCATTTGAGAATAAACAAACCAAACTTGAACATATTTTTGAAGCTCGTTATGTTTTCAGATAAAGCTTGAACAACTCAATACTCTACTAGACTCTTCTCGTTTATTGCCATACCTTCAATAACAAATGGGAAAGTGAAATCCATACTCCATTTGAGGATCACATCTATAATCAAATGCTATAGGGTACACAGGTGATGATAGCATGATTTTAAACAATAAATTCACAAAATAATTAAATAGAGCCAAAAGGTTCCACTGAGGCTCATCAAGACCAGTTTAATCAAATCCGATCAGACAAAGATTCATGAGAAGTATAACATGATTTTGTACAAATAATTACAAAACATTTAAAAAGGACAAAATGATATGTCAATTCACAAAATGACGAGGTCAAAATTTTAAAACAATTAGAAAGTTTCTAATTAGAGACGCAATCATAACAATTCATATGCAGCTAACCTTCAAGCTGCCACAGCAAGAGCAAGGTGTCTCCATATTTGAATCGTCATCCTCATCCTGGCATATCCTGTTGGAAAAAATGATTTTTGGGACTTTAATTTAATATTAAAGTGTGGTGACTTTAATTAAATATTAAAGTGGGTCTTAACCATTTTTTGTGTTGGGTCCAAGTGAGCCAAAAACCATTGGGTTTTGAATAAGAAATTGCTTCATGATGTTAGATTCATGAATAGGATTTTAAAGAGTATTTAAATCTTTTTTCTTGGCTAAAGGGTGTGAATCCTTTGGGCATCCATACTTTTCATTTTGTGGAAAGGGGCTATGGATGCTTGGTGATTTAATGACTAGCCTTAAAGGCTGGAGGCTTTTCCCTTCTCCCCTATACATGTATAAATTGAGACATTCCTGTCAAGTTTCAATATAGAAATTTTTGCTTCCATTTTACAAGTCAGTTTGCTTGATAGTTCCTATTGTGAGAGAGTGCTGCCATTGTTTTGTTCGCTAAGCTAGACAGATAGTGCTTCTGCCGTAGCTGGTTTTGACCGTCGTATCCTGGGAGATAGACGCCGGGTTTCCTCAAGCACTCGACCCGTGAGGCAGCGAAATCTGTTTTAAGCTTGTTGCTCAAAATTGTGAAATTAAATAAATAGATTTATGAAGAAAACAAATTATATACCAAGAACATATGCTGATAATTACAACTAAATTTCAACAGAAATACACAATAAACAATAAAGGGTAAAGAGACAAAACCGAAGCCTACACGGAAGCAGCTTGTTGTTCAAAATTGTGAAATTAAATAAATAGATTTATGAAGAAAACAAATTATATACCAAGAACATATGCTGATAATTACAACTAAATTTCAACAGAAATACACAAAAAACAATAAAGGGTAAAGAGACAAAAACGAAGCCTGCACGGAAGCAGTTTCCTTAAAACAGATTTCGCCGCCTCACGGGTCGAGTGCTTGAGGAAACCCGACGTCTGTCTCCCAGGATACGACGGTCAAAACCAGCTACGGCAGAAGCACTATCTGTCTAGCTTAGCGAACAAAACAATGGCAGCACTCTCTCACAATAGGAACTATCAAGCAAACTGACTTGTAAAATGGAAGCAAAAATTTCTATATTGAAACTTGACAGGAGGGTCTCAATTTATACATGTATAGGGGAGAGAGAAAAAGCCTCCAGCCTTTAAGGCTAGTCATTAAAACACCAAGCATCCATAGCCCCTTTCCACAAAATGAAAAGTATGGATGCCCAAAGGATTCACACCCTTTAGCCAAGAAAAAAGATTTAAATACTCTTTAAAATCCTATTCATGAATCTAACATCATGAAGCAATTTCTTGGCAATTTCTTATTCAAAACCCAATGGTTTTTGGCTCACTTGGACCCAACACAAAAAATGGTTCGGACCCACTTTAATATTTAATTAAAGTCACCATACTTTAATATTAAATTAAAGTCCCCAAAAATCATTTTTTCCAACAATCCCCCACATGAATAAAAATTGACCGAATGACTCAACAAACGGACATCGTTCAACAATAAAGACTCTGAGAGAGAGTACAACGGACTAACCTCGACAACAGAGAAGGTAGCTTTTGGCTTTGAACCTCTCCCAGTGAAAACCTATCGAGTTTACTGGCAGATCAGTGAATAAGACATCTTGAACTGCTCTACCGTTTATGTAAACTAAGACAATAGATCTCACACGGGAATTACTCCTACCACCATTATGTTCTCACTGGTGTGCCCTGTGTGGCCCTGGACACTAGCCTAGTTCAGCGAGTGGTTTCAAAGAATCTTGGCCTGCCCAATTCTTCTAGAAGCGGCCCCACTTCAAACTCACATAGGTGACTCTACTAAAGTATCCTGCAATACTTAGCTCTACAGCTTAACACATAAGAGTCATTAAAAGCTCAACTTATCCTCTACACTTGCAGGTATCACTAATAGAAGGAATGGCTGGAGGTTTAACCTCCTCAGTGACATACCACCGTTACACGCAATTAGGTTGCCCCATTGAACCTAGATCTTGGGATCTCCAGTCAACTAGGTTGGGTTTCCATTCCGGTAACTTCCAAAGGCCTTAACCCCATTCATTTTGACGACGTTTCGACTAACACTCGACTTAACCCTTTGGTTAGCAGATCCGCAATGTTGTCCTTAGACTTTACACAG